CCCCATCTCATTCTTTTTTGCATTCCCAAAGGCAGCCTCATTTTGTCTCCTCAGAGGCATCGGCACCAGCCAGGCAGTGACTCGTTCTCAGAGCTGACAAACTCCATGAGGTCTCTCCAGCAAACTTCTATGTTTGAGTAACCTCAACATTTTCCCTCTGTTCTTCCAGCCTCAGGGATGTGAACTGCTTCCTGGAATTACTATCCCCTCTTTCTCCTTTTAGCTTCTTAAAGTTCTCCAATAACTAATTAACCAATGACTTATACTAAGTTTTCTTTGTTGAATGCTTCTGGCAATTTCTGTGTCTTGGCTGGACCCTGATGGATATAGTACTTGCACCTGAAGGGGGTCCAACCCAACAGGGCTCCACCCCTGATCAGCTGGGTCAGAAGGCCCGAAGGAGTAGAGCAGCCTGCACTGTTTTGTGGACCTGCTGCACAGACGGTTTTTGCTCTGGGTCCTAAATGAACCACAATGTATTTACCTACTCCCTGGCAGATGGATGTTTGTTTCTAACTTTTCCTACTATAGACAATGCAGTAAACAACCTCAAATAAATATTTTTTCACATGTAGGCAAGTGTATCTCTAAGATAAAGTTATAAAAGTGGAATTGCTGGGTCAAAAGGGTTGTCCAATTACCCTTTATAGAGGTTGTAGCCATTTGGTCTCTCACAGGCAATAAACAGAAATTTATTTCCATGAGAAATAGGGACATCAAGAAAAGGGAAGAGGCAAAGGGTGAGCAGTTTGCTCACTTGGTCAGAGCATGGTGCTGATACCACGGTAGCTGGTTTGATCCCCGCATGGGCCACTGTGAGCTGCACCCTCCTTAAAAGAGTCAACTATGCCATTGTAGCATGAAAGCAACGTGTAACCAATGACCATGGCTGTTCCCCAATAAAAAAAGATAAATAAAGAAAGAAAAAGGGAAGAGGCAACCAGGTATGGCACCCTTATCCCAGTGTCCCAGTAAGAGGGACAAGGTAGAGGAGAGATGCTCATCTAAGCACAGAATGAGACCAATCACTTGAGGAATTACTTTGTGGCCTAGGCTCCATGGACCTCACTTTGAGCACTTTGGAGAGAAGAGAAGCTAAAATACAAATGGAAAAGCTCTTTTCAGTACTTTGGTACCTGCTTAATGAAGGGTAACACCAAAAATGAGGAGAGAGGTCCTTCGCCACAGATCACCAACAGGGTTGAGCTATCTGAGGAGGCTTCATGCTGTGCCCAGTGGATACTCAGTACCTAGCAAATGTGGCTGTGGTGGCCAGCAGCCAGAGTGATACCTAGAGATGCGTGGCTATTGGAATAGCACGGCTATTGGCAGTGCTGCTGGGCATATTCTATGTGGTAACTATAGGCACATGTGAGAAACCTCCTAGGGATTCCCCAAACACCTGGGTGGAAATTTGTAGGGTGCTGGGTCTGTTTCCTGCAGTATCAGAGAGTGTAAGAGCTGGTAAAACACAGGCTACAAACTCTCATTTGCTAAGGTTGTCCCTTTTTTCATTTTTACATCTTTGCCTCATACACTGGGGTGGGCTTTAGTTTAAAAATAACAAAGTAAAATATTCGTCTTCCTACAACACATCTCAGCAAATTCAGGTTGTGACTAAGTCATTTTTGCCATCTGCTGTTTGGTTTTTCTTGTCATGTATCCCCTGTTCAGCAGAGCTCTACTGCAGTTATCATTGCCCTTGTTTAGCAGATAGGCTACCTTCCTCATGCTTGCTTTTACCAATTTCACCATAGCATCATGTGGTCACAAAGCTGTGTTCAAATAGAGCTGTGTCTTCCCTACCCTGTAAGATGTCGGCTGGCTTCCTGCAGAAGACTTTTGTTGTATGTGCCACTGTGTGTGTCATTCTTAATTTACACGCTAGAGATGCTGTCGTCGCCAATTAACGTTTTTTGTTTTTTTTTTGGTAGGACCCTTAGTAATATTTATTTTATTTATTTTTTTTTATTGTTAGTTTCAGGTGTACAGAACAATGCAATAGTTACCCTTTTCACCCCAATTAACGTTTTTTTCAAGGGCCCCCTGGATGCATAACACATTGGGATTCATTTAATATTCCCTTTGTTTCCGATATCAGGTGGTTCCTTCAAATGAATTTTTAAGTATCTCAGTGATGATGAAGAACAGAGGCATCAATTAGAGTTCAGGAAGACAAGCCTTTGCAGAGCATGCTTAAAGGAGAGCATCAAGGATTGGTATTAATATTTGAAAGTTTAAAAGAGGGTATACTTTTCTTCTAGTCAACAAATGACAAAAGCAAAAGGCACTGCAGTCATTGTTCCTGGACAAAGCTTGGCAGCATTCCATTCAGACATCTGCTCTTTGATCGCCCCATTTTCCTCTTCACTTGCTTCAGTCCTTCTCATCTTCAAGGCTGAGTCTGAATATTTCTTCCTGAGGCTTTTCCTAATCATTTCTGCCCTGAGGGATAACTCCCTCCTCCAATTCCTCTAGCCCTTTTACCTATCATTTGGAAATTTAGCACATGATGCGTTATACTATTATTGAATAAATATATGTTCATTCTCAAGTATATTAGAGAACTGTCTGGACAATTTCTTTCTTTCCCATTCTCAGGATCAGCACAATATTCTGTCAATCTCAATATTTGTAGAATCTCAAGAAATAATTATTAATGGCAACAGTATTACAATCAGATGGAATTTTATTTTTAAAAAAGAGTGAAAGGACAAGGCTGAAGCTTTGCCAAGTTGAGACTCATAAGCACCATTAATGTTTTTTAATCTAAGAGTTGCGTGTACATGCTTTTGGGGGAAGGTGGGGAAGGCAAGAACATCACTGGAAGTCAGCAGTTTGCCTTTCAAGATTCAATAAATTTATTTATTTTTTTTTTTGCCCTGCCTAAGCTGTGTTTATTTTTGGTCCATCCCTTTCGATGTGACAGTAAGCAGTGTAACATGGCTGACGGTTGTAGGAGTTGATAAGAGAACAGACCTAAACATTTTCACTTCAGAAAAACAAACATTCGGTTCCGTCATATACTTTGGATTAAGAACACACCATCAGTTTTATGACGTCAAGAACCTTGGCCCAGCGAGGAGGCCGGAGACACACGAATCCCACCAGCAAGGAGACCCACTGTCGCGCGGCCGCTAGCGATTAACAGCAGCCTGTGAGCTCTCCTCAGGACGAAGCTCCCGCGGGGCCCCGCCCACCCCGGTTCCGGGATCCTCATTGGCCGGCCTTCCGCCCGCTCTCTCTATTAATCCTGGGACTTCTCAAAGGAGGCGGGCATCCCCACTTAGGGTATTGATTGGTCGAATCTTAACGGAGGCAAGCAGTTTTAAGAATTTCTATTGGCTCTTAGGCTTTAGAATGGGCGGGGAAAGGCAGAGCGACAGGGCTCAAGGAGGGAAGCGCGGAATACGCCGGCGCGTAGTCGGGGACGCCAGGCCAAGGGTTTTGCTAGGGAACACTGTTGTTGCCCCGCCCCTTTCGGGGCTTTTTGTCCCGTTAACTGTCGGAGTGGCGGGGGCTCCAGCGCCGGGCGACATGCCGGTGCGCTTCAAGGTGAGGCCGGGGTCCCCGGGCCCGAAGGCTGATGGGGGGAGCCGTGGCGGGGCGGGTGAGGGCCGCGGGGGCCTCGCTGGCTTTCTGCACCGCGCCCCTCGGCCCCGCAGAGCCTGTCAGCCCCCGAGCCTGCCTGCCACGGTTCTGGAGGATGATTGTGTCTTCTTACCTAGCTCCCTTTCCGCTCACACTCACTTCCGAGTTACCGAGTGGAAGAGTTAGATGGTGTTGAGATAGGTTTATTTTGGGAGGCTCAGAGGAGTGGAGAAGGAGGGAGGGCACTATCATGGGAACTAAGGCGGCCTCCGATTGGGACACTGTGGCCCATCTCACTGTTTAGCATTGAACCCCCGTCCCCCGCCCCAAAGTGCGTATGTCTATTAAAGAGTTGAGAAATGGGACCTTAACAAGATAAAGACAAGGTATAAGAAACACATATTATTCATAGTTATGCATTTGTTTCGGGGTCGTTAAAAGTTTCAGGTAGGTGGTAGCTGACAGGGTCAAGCACCCTTCAACATAATAGTTGACCACAGCTTTCCACAAGCCCTGTCTTAGCCTTTTATCTTAAGGGTTTTGTATCTAGAATGGGAGGGGGATTTGTCTTTCTTTGGTTGACTTGACAAAATTTCAAAAGGTACTGGGCATACAACGTAATATTGTGTACTCGGTGAGAGCTTAATTAGGATAATTACACTGATGAGGATTTAGATTGTCACAGTTATTAGACAAGAGCTCAGGCTTTAGAATGAGACAACCAGCGGAAGGGTAGACGCTCTGAGCCTCAGATTCCTTCTAGCAACGGCCTCAAGTGGTTGTGAGGATTAAAGGATATAACACGCGTGAACTGCTTAGCAGAAGGCTGGGTAAATATTAACTATTATTTAGGAGCTCTTCTTTGTGTAATTATCAATCTTAAGTCTTGTAACCCTTTTTAGAGGTTCAGAAATTATTTTTACTGATGTCTGCTTTAAAGCAACGTTCATTCATTACACTGTATTCAAATTGTACTTTACATTACAGGGGCTGAGTGAATACCAGAGGAACTTTCTGTGGAAAAAGTCATATTTGTCAGAGTCCCGTAATTCCTCAGTGGGGCGAAGGTACCCATGGGCTGGACTTAGATCAGATCAATTAGGTAAGTTGGACAAACTAATAGTCATTATAACTTGAATAAACCTTGAAGTAAGTTTGCAAAATGATTACAAAATTGTATTGTTCCATTGGTGTGGTTGACTTATTTATTTATTTAACACATATTTATTGAGGGTTTGCTATAGGCCAGGACTATTCCCAGCTTCTAGGGATATAGCCTTGAACCAGATAAGGACTGTTAATTGTAGGGAAGAACAGTGAACAAATAACTCAATAAATAAACTAGGGGATTTCAGGTTTTTATGTAAAATTGTAGCATGATAGACAACTTGGGGGAGGAATAGATTGCAGGAAATATGCTTCAGATCAGATATTTGACCTGAGACATGGAAGCTGACAGTAGACAAGTCTGGGGAGGAGTACTACCAAGGTGTCGAGGAATGGAAGCTTAGATAAAGTAGGTTGCCCAAGATTCACAGCTAGGAAATGACAGAACCATGATTTGAAATCAAGTTTGTATTGTTCAAAACCTGTGAATTCAGAGGCCATGTTCTTGACATCATACGTGCTTCCTCCCTATATCCCTGTATCCCAGGGAAGTCAGAGCCTGGGCCAAAGCTTCCTAGAGCATGGTAGAGGGGAAAAAGAGACAGACTGACATTATTCTACCTGCTGCTTAATTCTCCCTTCCTAGAGTGTAAGATCTTTGAGAACAGGGCTCTGTATTTACCACCTTGTTCCCGCTCATACCTGACATAGGGCCTTGACATACTGTAGTGCTTATTAAAACTAATTTCTGATTGAATGAATAAAGTTCAATTTGAATCCACATTAGCTGTGTGACCTTGGGCAAATTGGGCCTGTTTCACCTAGTGGGACTTAGGAAGCCCATTGCACAGGATTGCTGGGAGCGATTAAATGAGATGATGCCTGTTAAGGACCAGGTGCATATATACAGATGAATGCTTGGTACCTCATATGTGACATGTATGAGAGTGCCTGATGTGTGGTATATAAGTTCTTCAAATGTTAGATGTTTGAAGCCAGGAAAACAAAAAAAGGCTTATGAGTGGAGTGCCATGCCTGGGAAATTGGTAAAATGAGAGTGTTTGGAGAACAAAGGAAAGAGTGGGCTAGAGGGGTGGCTCTTTTAGGACTACTTTGAAGATAAGGATCCTTTTCCCAGAACCTCACTTCCAAAAAGCTGGGTGTCCCTGCCTCTCAGGCAGGGTGATGTTCATAATCCTCTCTAAATGACCAAAAATTCCACAAATTTAAGACTCCATTAGACTAAGAATCCAAAATAAATCTCTCAAAGTGTAGATACCCACTGAGGGCCTAGAGAGGGGTATTATGACACTAGGAAATTGGCTCACCAGATAGTTGCCTCCATGACATTTTAACTTAGATCAACTATATTTGAGGGTAGAAGAGTGATTAAATGAGACCGTGGGAGCAAAGTCACTTTGAAGAATGGAACATTACAAAAGGAGCAATTGTCTAGGGGAGACATGTTAATGGAGAATATTAGGTAAGGGGGAGGGCCGGAGTGAGGACTCTAGGATATTCAGAAAGGGAGGTGGGAGGTTAGCCAGGAACAACAGCGGTGTTACTACCTAGGACTGGCCTGACATGCTGTTAACAGAATGTGTTTTCCCTCACAGTGGCTTTTTGCTGGTTCTGGGGGACAAGGGCAGGTCACTTGAGAATCCTCCCCTTTCATTTTGCTATTTTACCAGAAGCCTCTCTCTGTGTTAAAAGCAGTGAGAAGTCTAGGGCAGTGGTCTTCAAACTCTTTAGCTTTTATACCCCCTAAAAGTCTTTGTACCCCTTCACATTTTTTTTAAACTTTATTGGGGAACAGTGTATTTTTTCCAGGACCCATCAGCTCCAAGTCAAGTTGTCTTCAATCTAGTTGTGAAGGGCACAGCTGACTGGCCCATGTGGGAATTGAACCTTGGTGTTAAGAGCCTGCGCGCTAACCACCTGGGCTAACTGGCCACCCTTCCCTTCACATTTTTAAGTTGATATTTAATTTTTTAAATGATAAGTGTAAAAAATAGTTTCTAAGGATATGATTTCTGGTATAGTGAATATTATATATGTATTTTACATACAGTTTATTAAAACTTTGGAGCTGCCAATTTTGCTTATTTAGTTTATGATAAATGTTCATCATAGATATAATTGGTAAAGTCAGTTCTCCTTTGGCAAAACTAATCAAAATTATTTTCTGTGAGAAAAAGGGTTTAACTTTTCCAATCCAAATTAATGTGTTAATATGCATATATGCATTTCACATGATGACACTCACACCTGCATTTTCATTCTAAGATAGGTAGATGGAAAAGGTGTGGAGCTGGATGAAGTAAGGTGCTGTTCCTTTGTTATTTCTAATTTCTGCCTTCTTTGCTTTGCTGTCAAATATTCTCCCTCAGGAGCTATGCTTCCTTGAATTGTCCCTTTGTTCTGCTCCCCACCTATGAGATTTTTTTTTTTCTTCCTGGGGCTGGGTGAGAGGTGTGTCTTTCTTTTGTGAAGTGGGACAGGGGTGATTATGAAAGGGGTGGTGGGAAATAAAAATACAGATGGCAGATGCAGCTTTTAGGCAGATCAGTGTCAGGAAGTAGTACATATGGAAGTTAGGATCTGGAAAATGATTCCCTTGGGGTCACCAGTTAGTTCAGTTGGTTAGAGCGTGGTGCCGATAGCACCAAGGTGATTGCCGGTTTGATCCCCACATGGGCCACTGTGAGCTGTGCCTTCCTTAAAAGAGTCTACTATGCCATTGTAGCATGAAAGCAATGTGTAACCAATGACCATGGCTGTTCCCCAATAAAATTAAAAAAGAGAGAAAATGATTTCCTTAAGCTGTCCATTTCTGTTTACCACCTCCTACCCCCAAAGTCTTTATGTGTCTCCAGACATATATGCACCCAGTTTGAAGACCACTGGTCTAGGGAAGCCTTGTAAGGGTGGGGACTCTGCGTTCAATGGCCGAAACATCCATAATAGGGGCTAAAGAACTGGGCTTTACCACAGGCCTGATTTTTTGTCCACCTTCCCTCTCCTTCCCTTCCCTTCCAGTCTTAATTTTTCTTTCCCACTCTGCACAGTCTTCTTTCTATTCAAAGAATGGCCCCAAACTGGAGCAGTCACTTAGTGGCTGTCATTCCTTAGCACTCCTTTTTACCTGGGTAGAAGGTTAAGTTTTTTGGACATTTGCTTGCCAGACAGAAATATAGAGAAATAGTATCTTAGCACTTGTTAAAAGGGTTCATTCTCTTTAATTCTCAGGAAATCAAGGCAAATGTAGAACCAAGATCCAGAATAAGGACATCTCACCCCTTCTCATCTGGGTCTGCTCTGCATAAGAGAAGCTTTGTGAAAAGTTCCAAATTTTGACAGTACTAGGGCCCATTGTTCTATTAAGTAGCACAGGAAAGTAATTAGAAACGGAGGTAGCATGTACTGCGGGCTTGCCAGGCCCATCACGTTGCTGTTTTAGTGACTTGTGTGAGGATAACTCGAATGTTGTGACCCCGATTAAAAAAAATTTTTAATGTCAAACTTTTAATATTTCTTTAAAGCCAAATTAAAGATTTTATGTTGAAAAATTACTTATTTTTTTATCATGTAACTTGAAGGATATTGTGTGTGTGTACCTCAACTGAATTTTAAATTCCATGTCTCTTCTCATAGGTATTATTAAAAGTTGTCTGTGTAACTTTATGCTTTGGTAGCTGATACTTTTGTGTATTATATTTTGTAGGAATCACGAAAGAGCCAAGTTTTATTTCAAAAAGAAGAGTCCCTTACCATGACCCACAGATTTCAAAATCTCTTGAGTGGAATGGAGCTATTTCCGAGAATGATGTGGTTATATCACCAGAACCTAAAGCCCCAGAAACACCCGAATCACAAGAGGCAGAGCAAAAAGATCTTAACCAAGAAAGAGTTCTTGCACTAGAACCCTCCAGGGTTCCCAAGAGAACCAGATCTCACTCTGAAGACTCCAGAGCTGAAGGGGCTTTAGATATTGTGGAAAATAATAAGAATGTAATAGCAAATCACATACCAGTTAATGAAAATGTTGAACTGGAACATTCTACCAAGCTTCTCTCAGAAAACGTAGATAATAGGGTAAGTATATTCACTATTTCTTTACGAAAGAGTAGAATTCTTTGCAGATTTCATCATTTCAGTAATACTACGTTTTGTGCTTAAAATTTTTCATTGTTGTTTTCTTGTCTAATGTCTATTAGAATAGTTAATAAGAGGTTATTGACTTTAGTTGCTGTGAATTAGTTTTATTCTTAATAGTCACTTTGTACTGGTTATACTGAAGTATCCCTTCATTAGGTGGACAGCTTGCTTCTGGATTTTATTCATCATATATCAGCACCTGAGTCCTAAGGGAGAGATCAAGTTGAGACAGAGAAGGGGAGCAGGCAGTTACCCCTGGCAGGGATGGTGAGCTGACTTCTACCTAGGCTCTTTTCAGTTCCTTATTGTATACCAGCAAGAAAAAAAAACAGAATCTCAATTGATAAAATGCAAAAGAAAGGAGAGTTTTGGCTGGATCTCAAAGACCTTGCAGTTCTGCTCTTATGTCATAGCTGGCCTGCGGAAGGTCCCTGTGAGCACATAAGCAGAGGCTGCAGGGACCCGTGCACACATCTCACTGCCTCCCACATTTTTCTCCATTCCACTGTGCTTCTTCCCCATTTCATGCCCATCGCTGACTGGAACCACAGAGCGGCATTTAGAAGTGCTGGAGAAGAACCCGTGGCTTACTGCAAAAACCAGGGGCCACAGGGGAATCACGGAGGGTGAAGTGTAAGTCTGGTGGGCAGGGAAGGGGCGTCCCAGAAGCAACATGTGGATGAGGCAAGGTGCTGTTGTTTTTTAGTAATAGATTTAATTATAAGTAATTGCTAGGAAGGAACTGAGAGATGTTAATCTTTTTCTGGGATGCATAAGAATTCCTTAACAGTATTAAGAAAGGAATTTTAAATAGTTTGACAATTTAATAGGGAGATTATTTATCAATTGAAAAAAATTAGTTGTACAACTATGTGCATATAGTTAATAATGCTGTACTACATACTTAAACATTTGTAAAGAGGGTGAATTTCATGTTGTTTCTTTACCATAGTAAAAAAAAAGTTTGAATAGAAATTTTTAATGACTTTGGGATTTTTTTTTTCCTAACAGTTGGATAGACATCTGCAGAAGAAAGCTGGATTGACTGTTGTTCCTTCACATAATGTCTTGAGGAATTCTGAATATCAAAGACAGTTTGTTTGGAAAACCCCTAAAGAAACCGCTCCAGTTTTTGCAGCCAATCAGGTAGTTTTAATGGATGAAAGACATTTTTTAATATCATCATCTAATCTAGTCATGCAGATTTACACAGAACTAATTGCTAAAAGAAATTAGACATTGAATTAGGCTTAGAGGTAGGCTCTAGAAAAGTGAAAATGAGAGTCTTGCTAAAATCATCTTATTACTTTTGATTCATAGTAGTAATGTTATATCGTCTTAGCCTAAAAATTGATGATCATTTTTGCCAGATTCATCACATATGTTAAATATGAGACAGGGTAATGAAAACTTGGGGACAAGTAAGTTTTTGCATACTGTGAGTTTTTTTATTTATTAAAAACTTATTAAATTGGTTTTATTCTAAAATGTGTTTAGTTGACTAATGTAGTGCATGTTTTCTGTCTTCTAAGAAAAGCATAACTGCTTTGGATATTTATTTTAATAAATACAAAATATGTTGAAAGTAACACAGGATATATAATTTTGTCCTTGTATTAAATGAATAATAATAGGAATTGACAGTTTAACTGTGTTTATGAAATTCAAAAGCTATAATGATAACTATGTGGTATTAGATTTCATTGTACTCTTGTACAATTTTAGTATTGGACTACCATTACTAATAAATACTCTGTTGTTTTACTACTATCATCCTCTAGAGTCTAGACACATCGTAAGCTCTTAACTCTCATTTGTATTCTTAAACATACTCCTAGACCTAGGTAGGAAATACTTCCATTTAAAATATCCGCAGAGGCCCATGATAGCTTAGACTTTTGTTTCTCCTGATCTTTGTGTTTTTCTTTATAAACACACACACACACACACACACACACACACACACACATACACATACACGCACGTGCATGCGCGCTCACCTTCACATACCCTCACATTCATTTTCTACTGTATCTTAACATTCACTATATACCCATGAGGACAGAGAGGATAATTAGAGTCAACAAAGTAAGAATATTGGTCATCCTACACTAAGATAGTAATACCAGTGATCCTATAAATTGTGGAAGCTTTGGGCTTAGTTATTACTCAGTTTTTTATAAACTGAAATTTATATAACATTTTAAGAACATACAAAAATAACAAAGTGATATGTACCCTTTCTGAACCTAGTAAATAGGACGAGTACTTGTTTTGCTGGCTTACAAGTATTCTTGGATAGTCAGTGTGCCTACAAAATTACTTATGACATGAAAATTGTCAATTGTGCAGTTTTCTTAGAGTATTTCACCTTTAAGATAGAGCTGATTCAAATTAAAGCCCCATTGACAACTTTTACATATTTCAGTGAAAGTATTGTATAGAAATGTTCTTGTTATAGGATCAGAAGTATAATATGAAATAAATCACTAGCAATACCTTCACTGGTAGTTTTATTGCTTTCATTAGTGAAGGTTTCAAATAATGTTGGGGGGAAGCAATTGCTCTTTGTTAGTTCAAAGCATATCAATTTCAGGGTCTGTGGACTGAAGAGCTCTGTGACAAATTTTGAATGCTTGTTGATGGGGAACCTCTAAAGGAGCTGTTTACTTCCATTTTACCAGACACCTGTTTTCTGAATGGAAGTCTTGTATTAATATGTAAAGGAGTTGGAGCAATTTTTGGCAGAAATTGCCACATTTTCTTTATCCATTCATCTTAGATTCATTCCATGTCTTGGTTATTTTGAATAATGCTGCAATGAACATGGGAGTGCAGATATCACTTTGGGATACTGATTTCTTCTGGAAATATACCCAAAAGTGGGATTGCTGAGTCATATGGTGGTTCTGTTTTTAATTTTTTGAGGAGCCTTCATACTGTTTTCCATAGTGGTTCTACCAATTTACATTCCCACCAACAGTGTACAGGGGTTCCTTTTTTTCCACATCCTTGCCAACACTTAACTTTTATATTTTTGATAATAGCCATTCTAACAGGTGTGAGGTGATTATCTCACTGTGGTTTTGATTTACATTTCCCCGATGATTAATGATGCTGATCACCTGCTCATGTACTCATTGTCCATCTGTGTGTCTTTGGAAAAATGTCTGTTCAGTTCCTCTGCTTATTATTAATTGGATTGTTTTTTTCCCCCTTTTGTGTGAGTTCTTTATTATTTTGGATATAAATCCCTTAAGGATATATGATTTGCAAGTATTTTCTTGCATTTTATAGGTTGCCTTTTCATTTTGTTGGTGGTTTCCTTTCTGTAGAGAAGCTTTTCAGTTTGATGTCATCCCACTTGTTTTTGTTTTTGTTGCCTTTGTTTTTGGTGTCAAATCCAAAAATTCATTGCCAAGACTGATGTCAAGGAGATTACCCCTTATGTTTTCTTCTAGGATTTTTATGGTTTCAGGTTTTACATTCAAGTTTGTAATCCATTTTGAGTTGATTTTTGTGCATGGTGTAATACTGTGGCTCAGTTTCATTCTTTTGCATGTGGCTGTCTAGTCTTCCCAACACCATTTATTGAAGAAACTGTCCTCTTCCCATTGTATATTCTTGGCTCCTTTGTTGTAAATTAATTGAACATATATATATATATATATATATATATATATATATATATATATATGGGTTTATATCTGGACTCCCTATTGGGTTCTTTTGATCTATGTGTCTGTTTTTATGCCTCTGCCCATTTTTAAATTGGGTCATTTTCTTGCTATTGAGTTGTTTGAGTTCCTTGTATATTTTGAATATTGACCCCTTATGAGATCTATGGTTTGCATATATTTTCTCCCATTCCATAGGTTTTCTTTTCACTCTGCTGATTGTTTTCTTTGCTGTACAGAAGCTTTTTAGTTTGATGCAATCCCATTTATCTATTTTTTTTATTTTTATTTTTTTCTCATTTGTCTGTTTTTGCTTTTGTTGCCCTTTGGGTGTTAATTAGACATGTGAAATTGCCTTTTTTTGTATCCTGTGACATTATATGTGACATTTTTTAAGCAATTGAAAAACTAAGTTCTGTATATTTAACCCACAAAAAAACTAAACTAAAATAATTTTTGTTTTAAGGTTTTCCACAATAAAAGCAAATTTGTTCCACAATTCAAAGGTAACTCAATCATCCATGAAACTGAATACAAAAGAAATTTCAAGGGTTTATCTCCAGTGAAAGAACCAAAATTAAGAAATGATTTGAAAGAGAACCGACATTTTGAAACAATTTCTCCTGAGAAGGTATCCCTCAACTCTTTAAACAAAACAAGATCCTCAGTTTGGACTTTATTATTTTCTTTCACTTACCACCACTTGAAATTTTGGTTTTTAGCTAGTTTATTAATTTATTTGTTTGTTCATTAAATGCCAAATGTTCACTGAGCACTTAGTAGGAGCTGGGCTCTGGATAGGTACTGCGAATCAATGATAACCATGCTGAGCCCTAAGCAGCTCTTGGGCTAATGGGAGACAGAGATGTAAATAACTAAATATAGTTATATTGTATATGTAAAGAGATGTAAATATGAGATGTAAATAACTAAATATAGTACAGTGTATTGAATGCTTAGCAAATGTAGCAGGTTTTTCTGCTATATCTAATATCAAATGATTGGCCTTACAGTAATGTGAGCTCCAGGGGTAACATAGTGACAGAAACACATACTTTAAATTAAATAATGGAAATCAAACACAAATACCCATACACTCTTGTATTTTAAGCCAGAGTTTTAGCATGCCAAATTATAGCCAGTATAATTCACATGATTTACCTCAGGATGTACAAATACATGCTCCTGTGTGAAATTATAGCTATTTAAGTTACAGCATCAGGTTAAAATTATTGTAAATTATAGGTAAACATAAGTCCTATTTTCTAATCTCCTGGAATGTTATACCTGATATTTTATGGGTTCTAAAAATAGAAATTATATGACTAAAAGTAAAATGTTACAGATCCATAAAAAATTTTTTTGAACCTATGATGTTCTTGGAGAGAAAAAAGAGTGAAGTTATTCAGTAAAGCAATGTGGTAACTTATTCATTGGGACCTTATATTTAATTACTGTAACACAATTAAATGTAAATTTAATTGTACTATCAAGTACAAACGTAAGATCACTGTTCAATAGGTAGTAACAGAGTTTATTTATTTAGATGTTTATTTGTTAGTTAAACAAACCTTTTTCCTAGCCATGGGTCTAAAATTTTTATTGTTAGAAAATAAAAGTATATCCTGAGTAGGTGTACTTAAAAAAACTAGCCAGATATACTAGTTTCAAAACTTGCTTGTTGATTTCTTGTGATTTCCATGTTACCTTTAGTCTTTAAAGCTTACTTCTAAGAACAGAATTGTAATACAGTATCAAAGTATACCTTATAAAATTTATACTTTCACTTTAATGTATAAAATATTTTAAGCATAAAAAGTTTAAATTATTTTCATTTTAGTGTAATAGTACAGACAATCCTTTAAAATTAGAAGCAAAGATGGCATCAAAAGACTTAAACCAGCCTAAAAAGAAGATCATTCCATGGAGACATCAAAGGCTTGGGTATGTATTTTATAAGATAAATAGCATAGTATTTAGATGATTAACATGGTGAAATATTTACTCTCATTTCATTTCTGTTAGGAAGGTGAATTCTGAATATAGAGCAAAATTTCTGAGCCCAGCTCAGTATTTATATAAAGCTGGGGCTTGGACACGTGTGAAGGAAAACATACCAAATCAGGTGAGCATACATAAGCTCAGTAAGCCCACATTTTCTCTGAGCCTGTTATCAGTTTAATTTCACAATGAGTTTAACTTGGTAATAGACACTACAATTTAAAGATGTATAATACAATAATAGTATTAAAAGTATCAGACACTTAAAGTTGTATGTATTAGGATATAATTTATCAGTGTGTTTACTTTTTTTTTATACGAACTAGCTTCTTAGAGATTAATATTTATTATTATAAAGGCTTTAAAGTTAAAAAATTTTATAATCAATATTTGATCATGTTAATAAAGTCAGTTTATACAATTGTAGCATGATAGATTTTATTATTTTATAACATCCAGTCCTCCACCCTCACAACTGAAGATGAATTAATTTTCAAGATTAGTTTGTTTAACAGTGGTACCCCCTGTCAGCGTGTGCTACTACAGTCTGTAAGTACAAGGAAGGAGTGCTGATAGGTAGGTTAAGTTACAGTGTTGGGAGATCCTGACATGTGGGGGGAATTCTCAGGATCCTAACAAGAGGTTTGAGGTAAAGGGTAAGTCTTGAGCTGGGAGGTATTAATTTAGTGCTAGCTTCTTGTAGTCAAAGGATAAACAGTGGAACTTTTTTGTTTATTGTACAGTTAACATCTTTTAAACCACATCGTGATAGTTTTCTGCCTTTTCTGTGTGAATTAGCTAAGTTAAAACAGTTTAGATTAGACATCAGTAAACACCCCCTCCCCCAACATTGTGCAGACAGGGATAATTTGGATGGGGAATGAATCTTTTATTTAGCTCCATACTTAAAGCCATGGCTGAAAATTATGTGTAATCAGCTCTTGAGGGAAGTTGTTAGCACCTTGAGCTGCTGGCTCTTTGCACTGACAGATCCCAGACCCATGTCCTCGTGATTTCTGTGCTCCAAATGTTGTTTCAGGAGGTCACTTGATTCCTTCCACCATGGCTGCTCTTGGTACTCTCTGCTTCTTTACTTGAGCATGGCTCAGAGGCAATACAGGCAGAGTAAGAGACCAAGCTCGAAGCTGTCCCAGATATTACTGGGGGCAAAATTCATATATTCACGCTGGTGAGATCAAGTTATAAATATGAGCATTGAAAGCAGCCATGATGGAAGAAAGGAATTGAGTCAGCTAAACTTTTGAGCAGTTTGTTACCATGCTTTGTTACTTCTCAAGGAGCTCTGTGCCTGAGGAGTCTGATGGGGAATGAGGGAAAGCTGGGGGCAGAGGCAGGACACAAAGTGTGGCCATAGAAGGCTAGTGTGGCCAATAAATAGGCTTAGGTGCTTCACTAAGTTGGTTCATAAGAAGTTTCTTGTTTTGGAAAAATTATCTTAGTCTTTGAGACTTCTTTAAGATGAGTTGGTATTTAGATCTCAGATCTAAACATTTAATGGACTGAGAGGATTGTTGTATCTGAAGTCATGATAAGCTGACAGTCCTTGTCCTGCCCTGATAGAAGAGAACATTTTTGTTGTTGTTAATTTAAGATCTGCCTTTTTTAGGGTTTCCTATTATGTCTTGGTAATGTGACTTTTGGGGGAGTTTGTTTTATTAGTTGCTATTGGTGACTGTAAATATTTAAATTAGTGGTATAGTTTGCCTTGACCTTATGGGCAAAATGATTCAAAAAGTAAATTGAATTATTTACTAATAGTTTCTAATAAAAGAGTTAGAAAAGAGTAAGAATTTTTAGTAAAGAGGTCAGTGATCACTGATGGTGATAACAGTTTTAGTTCACATTTAATATGGGCCACATTTTATTTAAGTCTTAGTTTTTCTTTTTAACTGGAAGACATTTACTGTATGTGGCTGCCTGTGAAGTATCTAAACATAAGGTACTCCCCCATTTTCCCATTCCTAACATTTCATGAAGGAATATTATTCACACTCTTCAAATGCAATTGGACATCAATGACTTTGTTACCATTAGAAAGTTAACTCATTTTTTGAGTCATGTTACACTTTTCTAGCCCATATATCGTATCTTCATTTCCTTCTATGTTGTTTAAGATACTGTAATTTTAAAATCCATTTAGTCTAGTCACTGGGTATTTTATCCTAAGTCCCAAGTACCTATTCATATAACATTAGGGAGGTTGTTTTTATTTGTCCAGTGGTTGTATATTTCTTATCTCCATAATATAACCACTGGTACTATTGTTTTTTTAAAATGCACACTTAGATTGTTTTTAATAATAATCAGGAATTATAATTATTAGGTCCCATCCTCAGAATAACTACTGAATCCATGTTAAATTTCTTTTTTCCTTGATTGTTAGGTAATCTAATCATCCAAACTACTACATTGGTTGAGGTTATTTTAAAAAACTTTTCAACTACAATTGACAATACAGTATTATATTAGTTTCAGGTGTGCAACATAGTGATTAAACATTTATATACTTATAAAGTTTTCACCCCAATAAACCTAGTACCCACCTGACACTATGAATAGTTATAACAATAGTACTGACTGTATTCCCTATGCTGTACTTTATATCCTGGTGACCATTTTTATAACTGGCAATTTTTACTTCTTAATCCCTTTCACTTTTTTCACCCAATGCCCTGCCATCTGGCAACCATCAATTTGTTCTCTGGGTAATTTTTTCTAATGTGTCTTCCACAAATAGACTTTATTTCAAGATAAAGTCCCACATTTGAGAGACATTCTGTAATTTGATGGACATTGTAAGGACTACTAAATATAAGATGATTCCTCATTTTTGGGGGGGAGATGATTTTTTGGAAAAAATAGTTTTTATTATTCCCTCCCCCCAGTTTTCTGAGTTTGTATTTTCTTCATATACATTTTAAATGATTTAGTTGAATTCTTAATTTGGGAAAAGAAATTCAGAAATGAAAACATTCTACTTGTAGTGCTTATTATGTCATGTAATCTGATGACATTACCTGGAAAGAGGTGTATGTGTTGTTTTAATTGAGTTTGGAATGGTTTATTTATATCCTTTTTAGTGGCTGTGCTTGTTGGCTGTAGGGATTGTTCTTAATACTGAGTTCACACCATTGAGTTTTTTAAAAATTAAAGTTTATTGGGATGACAATGGTTAGTAAAGTTACATAGGTTTCAGGTGTACAAATCTGTAATATATCATCTATATATCACATTGTGTGTTCACCACCCAGAGTCAGTTCTCCTTCCATCACCATATATTTGACCCCATTTACCCTCATCTACCACCCTCCTCCCCCTTTACCCTTTGGTAACCACTAAACTACTGTCGGTGTCTATGAGTTTTTGTTTCTTCATTTGTTTTTCTTGTTCCTTTGTTGTTTTTGGTTTTATATCCCACATGTCAGTGAAATCATATGGCTCTCCACTTTTTCTATCTGACTTATTTCGCTTAGCACAATAATCTCAAGATCCATCCATGTTGTTGCAAACGGCACTATTTCATCTTTTCTTATGGCAGAATAGTATTCCATTGTGTGTATGTATCACATCTTCTTTATCCAGTTATCTATGGAAGGACACTTTAGTTTCCATGTCTTGGCCACTGTAAATAAAGCTGCAATGAACATCGGAGCACATATATCTTTATGGATAAGTGTTTTCAGATTTCTTGGGTAACCACTAATTTTTTTTTTTTTACTCTTTCTAGTAGAACACCTTACTTTGGGAGTAATCAGCCTCCTAATTTCTCATCTTAGTTTAGGATTATAGAAGTTTAAAATTATGTATTTGTAAAACATTATAACATTAGCACCAAGATTATTAATAAAGATTGCTGATAAATTTAAAACATTGTTTTGAATGTCAGTAACAAATGGAACTGAGTAAACCAAAGTTTTACAGTATTTCTATAAGTATCTCCTCTCCCTCCTCCTTCAAAAGTTCATGTCAAATAAAACTGGATCACTGAGTATGTGAAGAGTATATTCGTCCATCCTTTCCTTTATCAAACAGTAAGGTCTTCTCTCATGGATAGAATGCAGCCTCCTTCACTGCTCCTTTCCACTCACCCTACACACAGTACGAGACTGACAGGCTGCCCTTTTGATTCAACTTATATCTCATTTGTTTATTATGGCATAGACAGTACCAATATATAATAATTTATCATAGAGGATGTTGGCCTCCTCTACCAATCTGTGAGCACATTGAGTCAGGGACTTTCTTGTTTATCTTCGGCTACCAGACTTCTAGCTCAGGCCTAGCACTTAGTCCACACTCAAAACAATGTTCAAATGCTGCATTCTTCCCCTCCTCAAGGGGTTCATAGGTTAATGGGAAGAATGACATGAGCAATTAATATCAGTAGGATGAAATAAGTACTAATGGGGATATGCATGAAAGGCTTTTAAGAACACAGAGGAAGAAGCAATGCTAAGGCTTATAGATTTTATCATGTAGGTGATGGAATGGCCATGAAACATTTGAAACATGGGGGTACATATTAGAAATAAAACCTGGATTATATCAAGGCACTTTAAACAAGGTTCCTGTGCATTCAGAATACTTTGGTTAGTAGTTCGACTCAACCCATGTGTCTCGGTTCTACCTGTTAAATTAAAAAACCACTACAGTAAATCCTCACTTAACACTGTTGGTAGGTTCTGTGATTTTAAGTGAATGACATATAATGAAACCAGTTTTCCCATAGGCTAATTGATATAAACAAGAGTTACATTCCTATGGCATCTCATCAGTGTATTAATGAAATGACATTGAACGAAACATTTGAGGACGTCGTGTATTCGTAATTTTCCTTAAAGAATAGGAATTGACAGAAATAATAAATGAATATGGCTCAATTTTTTTGGCAGTGAAGAAAACAATATTTTGAATTTTCCTTCAGGAATGTTTCAGGTTTGGTTCATTAGAGCAGTTTATATGGTTTCTTACGCCAGGAGGATGCTGTCCTTTGCTTTGGCTAATTCCCTAGAGTTGTAGCACTTTTTCTTTGCATTCAGTAGTGTCTTCTTAAGGAGCTGAGGACATTTTTCTCCAATTGCTTTTGCAGTGCCAAATTTCATTATTTGCTTTTTTTCCTTTAAGTGAAAGAAAAGCAATTTTAGCAGACAGTATCCACATATCCTTTTAATGCTAATATTCCATCTTTATGATAGAAAAAAAATAGTCTTTTTGAAAATAAAGATTATTTTATTTTAATTTTATTGAGGTAACTGGTTTATAACAAGCAGGTTATTTTAGACAGAATTTTAAAGTGCAACATAAATTTTTTACATTATGGAATTGTATTTAGGGAAGCCAGCAGGTGGCAGTATGATGTATAAAATGAAAGCATTTCAAATGAGTTATGAAAAGCTCCATTTCACATGAAAATACGTTATTTGCATATTAGGGAATTCACATTACCTTATAGTTCATCAGAACATTTTTTTTTGTATTTTGTCTCTCTGTTGAATATATTACAATTATTATTTTGTGGGATTAGAAGATTACTGTATATATTTAATACATTTTTAAAAAGTTGAGGTTTTGCTGATTCCAAGGAAGTTGAGGAATTTGGAGGGGGAAGCGCCATGACTCTCTCAGTGGGGGCTTCTATACTAGTAACAGCTGTATATAAAACTAGGAAATTAAGACCAGGGCTTGGGGTGTCTGGCCAATCAGTAATCTTCCAGAGGTAGGGAAACTGGAATACTAATTAGGTTACCTGTCATGGACACCATCCCAGCTATGCAATAATGTGGCTGATTTTCAAGGTAATATTAAGATATCTTAGTAACTGAATTAAATATTACTAAAAATACTTAACAATTTGATTGACAAGTTTGGTATATATTTAGAATAATAAGGTATTTCATTGATTCCCATTAATATTCATTTATGGCATTAACCTGTCATTAAGTATGTTTCTGTATTCCTCCCCTAGGGTTCTGTAAATGCCATGTGGTATGCGGAGGTTGGTTGCTTTTGAGTTTTTAAAAAACTATAATAATGCATAGAATACTTGTGTAATTTCAGTTGAAATAGGAAGTAGGTGTCAATATTTTTCTTAGATGCTACAAATTTCTCCCTGCCTGCTGGCCTGAGATAAAATAACTGCATTGTGCTTTAGCTTAACTGTTTTAATTTCTGCTTAAAAATGCACATAGATTAATGAATGTATGTGGCTATTTTTGCTTTAATTTCTTCTTGGTCTCTGGCTGTATGTGTGCAATGTCTTTGATATGCTACTTGGTGATATTTGCAAAGGAGCATTTACAGTAATTCATAATGCTTTAACTCTCCTACATAGGTTAAAGAACTCCGAGAGACGGCTGAGTTTTATAGAAAACGACTTCAGGGAACACATTTTTCTCGGGACCATATGAATCAGATTCTGTCTGATAACAACTGCTGTTGGGATGTTTCCTCAACCACGAGCTCAGAAGGAACCATTAGTAATAACATTAGAGCACTAGATCTTGCTGGGTGAGATGTTCTTTGCATGGTGAAAAAGTATGTTGTAGCTTATGTAGATCATGGAATTATATAGGAAAAGGACATGACTACTCAAAATTTGTCTTCTGGTCAAATGGAGATATGTCAGCCATTTATTATATTTCATTATTTTTAGTTTATTTTCTGAAAAATAGAACTATACATACTTGCTTTACATACTTGTGTATAAATAATGCATAATGTAAATCTGGAAGATGAGATTTTATAATATTTCTTGTTAATAATTAAAAGAAGAATAGGGATGATTATACAGTAGCTGTAAAAGAACTTTAAAAGTAAACTACCAGTACATATTCATTATTTTTCATTAATAAATTTTCATGGTTAATATGGAACTCAGGTCCTGCTCCTATGGGTGATTCTCTGCTGTGTTGGATTTTAAAGTGAACATGATTTAACTGTTTATAAGTGAAATAGCTCACTGATTTGTAGCAAATAGAATAGTTTTTAGTTGTCACGGTATATTAATATAGTCATACATACCAAATTGAACTGTAAATTCTAATTATGTGACATCTGATTTAAAAAGTTCATCACAAAATCTATTTAACAATATCTGGAAAAGAATTATCTATCTAAAGTATAAAATTTGAATCAGCTTACCAGATCCACAAATCCATTTGAGTTTGTGCACAAACTCTAATTTGAGTAACTGAATAAGTTAGACCCTGTGGGGTCCTGGTTTATGTGTGTAAATGCTAGTTTAGGAGATATGTCTGAGTTTGTCAGTGCAGGCATGTTTATGTGAAGGTAGAAGAAGTAAGAGGAGATAAAACTATTTTTGAATCTTTTAATAGAAAGTCCAGATCATAACTTTATTAAACTGTAAAATGAACTCTTAATTAGATTTCTTTCTTCAATGCCTGGGTAAGGCGGTATCTGTGGGAAACATACAGTTGTGAACAGTGGAAGGGAATGATGGACTCATAAGGTTAGTATAAACTAGAATCCTCAAACTACTCAAGCTTAAAGTAAAACTTATTTTGTTATGCAGAGATCCTATAAGCCATAAGACTTTGCAGAAATGTCCTTCTACAAAACTAGAAGAAAAAAGACCTGTCTTGGAAGAACAGCCCCAGAAAAATACCATGGAGAAATTGGGTGTGTCAGATGCTCCCACCATACCTGTTAGAAGGCGTCTGGCTTGGGATGCAGAGAACACCAATGAAGACATACAGAAACCGCGGAGGAAGGAGGAGGAGGAAAGGGAAAGGGACAAACAGGTTTATATGGGAGAGTTAGAGAAGTTGGAAGTACATGAAAAATCTAAGGCAGACAAGAAAGAAGAAGGGTGAGAGTTTTAAATTAATCAGTATATGGCAGCATGATTGTGCATGGTTAATGTGTATTTTGTTTTGTCACTAAGTATCGTGGTTTACGCTTTTGGTTTTATGACTAATAAAGAGCAGATTTTACTTTAATGTCATGAAGTAGGCATTCTGTATGTTTTATAATTTGATTCAGCCAGGTATTTGAGTCACTACAAATTGGTAATTGAACACTTGAGCACTGAGCTATTTGGGGAGGAAGTAGTCGGTGTTATTTTCGTTTGTGTCCTGCTAATTATGATCTGCCTGAATAGTAAAATGTCTAGAAAAATGACTTTCTTGATGATTTAAGGAAAATAGCTGATTTTCTTTAGCATCAGATTGTTATACCAAAAAAGAAAGAAAAGATGATGTTTTATAATATTAAAATAAGTGATTTCAGCAAATAGCTAATTCCTGTTGATTTATATGCAGATTTCTTGGATGTGGTTCTCTGCCATTGATAATGGCGCTTTTTGTCTCCAGTCCAGATCCCTTCTCATTCGTTGATGAGTTTTGCAGCTAATATGGGACTTAGGCCCTGATTTAAAGGGAGGGCTCTTTGCTCTGCCATTGCTGACTGGCAGTGATCGTCCTGCTTTTCCAATATTCTGTCACGCTTGCCTGCATGCAGATTTATCTTCTCAGGAACAAAATGGCCTTACCTTAAAAGTTTTATACTTTGGTATTGCATGATGATGGCAAAGTATTTTTGATCCTATTTCCTGGAAGAAATGCTTCATGATGGATTGTTTTGATTTGTAGATCAGATTCTTCTTCTGTATCCTCCGTAAAGGGAGGCAGGCTTCCTACCCCGAAGCTGAGAGAACTTGGTGGAATCCAGAGAACTCATCACGACCTTACCACTCCAGCTGTTGGTAATAGGCAAAACCTGTGCAGTACTGACTTACTCTGCCTCTTCTACGTGAAAATTTAGTTTAATTGAAACGTAATTTTCTGCATGTTTCCAGGTGGGGCTGTTTTGGTGTCTCCATGTAAAGCGAAGCCTCCAGTTCCAGAGCAGAGGAAGAGAGTGTCCTCTCAGGATGTTTTAGAAACTTCAAAGGGTGATTTTAAGAAGGTAAATATTTATATTTTGGGGGAAAACATCTATTCAGGAAGTGATTATTTTAGTCGCATTTAATAAATGAATGATAGATTCTGATTTTAGAAAATTTTGTGTATCATATGTGGAGACAATGCTGTTAATGTATTTTTAGTAAGGCAAAAGCATTGAAATGTTTTTTTCTGGCATTGGCGTTGTTTTCCTGCTGGTAGACTTTTAAATCTTGTCTGTAGTGACTCAACAGGAAGAGAGAGAGAAGAAAAACAGTTCTATTTGTTGAGCATCTACTTTTGTGGCAATTGTAGTCAGCTATGTTCCATGCACTGTTTGAGCACCGGAGATATAGCAGTGAAAGAAACGGACAAAAATCCTAGCCCTTATTGAACTACATTCTAGTGGAGGAAAGAGACAATAAACAGGTTAACTAGGTGAAATACATTGTATGATAAGTACTAAGAGAAACATAAAGCAGGGGAAGTGAATGGTAAGTGGCCAGGAAAGTTCTCACTAAGAGGGTGGCATTTGAGCAGAACCTGAAGTTGGTAAAGGATTCACCCGCATGCATATCTAGGAAGGCATTCTAGACAAAAGAACAAGTGCAAACTCCCCAAGGTGACAAGGCAGCTCATTCTTTGAGGAATAGCTAGGAGGTCAGTGAGGCTGGAGTAGAGAGCAAGAGAGGGAGAACAGTATGGGCAATGAGTTCAAAGGCATCTTGGGCGACTAAATTGTGTAGGGCCTTATAGATCATAGCAAAGACTTTGAATTTTGTTCTGAATGAAATAGGAAGCTTTTGGAGGGACAGAGGAGTGATAAGAGTCAATTACAATATGCAGGCAAGAGTGATGGTCATTTGGTCATGTGGTAAAGTCTGATTCTGCATATACATCGAAGATATAGCCAATTAGATTTGCTGATGTATAAGATATGGGGTGGGAGAAAAGGACAAATCAAGGATGACTCTGGATTTTTGGCCTGAGCAATAAGCATGGAGTTGCCATTTAATAACTGAGATGGGGAAGACAGTGTGAAGAAAAGATTTGCCAGGGAAGAGCAAAAGTTCTGTTTTGCATGCGTTAAATTTGAGAAATTTATTAGACATACAAGTAGACATGTTGAGTAGGGAATTGACTGAGTTTGGAGTATAGAGGAGTATAGAGAAGTTAGGCTGCAGATACAGATTTAGGCTCTTTATCAAATAGGTGGTACAGGTATGCAAGGTCTTGAGATTGGGGAATATCATCAGTGGAGTGGATTTAGATAGAGAAGGGTAGGTGTAGGCAGGTCTGAGTCCCAGGTTTTTTGATCTTGGGAAGCTGAGGAGTAACCAACAGAGAAAAGGAACAGTCACTGAGGCAGTGAGAAACAGGAGACTGCAATGTCCTGGAGGTGTCAAGGAGGAGGGAGTGTCAGTGCTACTGCTGGGGCAGAAAGGCAGGAAAATTGATTATTGGATTTAGCAACATGGCGGTTGTTGGGGACTTTGACTAAGGGCAGTTTTGGTAGTGGGAGGGACAAAAGCCTAAATACATGAGTTTAAGAGAATGGAGAGGAGAGGAATTGGCGACAGCGTCACAGACAATTCGCTCAAGAGCTTTTTTCTATGCAGGGGAGCAGAGTAATGGAGTGGGAGTTGGAAGAAGTGAGGTCAACATAAAGGAGATAACAGCACATTTATTTGTATGTTGATGAGAACAATTTTAAAGAGAAAAGATGATACAGGAGTGAGAGGAAAATTGTTGGAAAGATGTTCTTGGATAGGAGGAAGGGCATAGGACCTGGTGGAGATGTGACAGGGTTAGCCTTAGCATTGGTAAATTTAAAAGAGGGCAGGCGGATTATATGGGCACTGCTGATGAAATAGAGGAAAATGTGGTGGGAGGTTTTGGAAAGTCTCTTCTGATTGCTTTTGGCAGAATCTGAAGAAAGATCCTTTTTGGGAATGAGGCTGGGGAAGAAAATGTTGGAGGTTTGAGGAAAGAGAATAAGGCATGAAATAGTCTTTTGGACAGTGCGAGAGTGAGTGGGCCGGGGAATATGAGGTACTGCAGGGCAACACGGAAGGGCCATTTTAAGTTAGTGAGCTTGATGTAAGACCAGTTAGGATAGGTTGTGTGCTTTTCTCCAGGCATGTTTGGATGCAGCGGTGCTGGACAGGTGGAGAGTTGGTTTTAACTGAAGTTCATGTTTTGTCAAGGGAGTGAGTGATTATAGTGATTACCCATGGAAGTTGAGTTGGTCAGGGAGGGAAAATAGGACTCAATAAAGTAAGGTACAGTGCAAAGGTGACAGCATCAATGGATGGGAGGTCTTGTCCGACTTAAGGATTTGTTGGAATTGGGGTCCCTGTGGGGATTAGTTTTAAAGTTAGGAGGTGGTGGTCAGAAATCGAGATTGTGGAGAGAGGTTGCAGTAGGACAGGAGAGGTTGCTGAAGTAGGATAGAGAACATTCACAGACGAGGTTGAATTTCACTGGGGGAATTTTGCTGAAGTTCCAGAGGGCACAGTGGGGAGTCACTAGGTGTTGGGGAGAGGTGGGAGATGGGATCAGAGCCTAATTCTCCCCAAAGCCAGGACTTAGAACCCAGCTCATGGCTGGTGGCCATTAAAAATGTGCTGAAAGGGAAGTTGTTGGAGTGACAGACTATCTAAAGTATTTCCTGTTGCTTACGTATACAGAGGTTTATTAAAGGAAATGTAACAATAGGCATTCAGAGGATTGATCAGAATCAGATGTTAGGGATCTCTTGCCCGCTAGGGACTGTTCTGCCCCTTCCTCAGGAATCAGGCTGTCACCTGGAAGGTGTGTCAGCTCTGCCCACAGGGCTGGCTACCCTCAGCTAAAATGAATGGCACTAATGCATATTTGCAGCTGGATTTTTATGTATTATTTTTGTTTATTGTGAAATTAATTTCTTGAATAATTAAATAAAATTACATTAAATTAATTAAAATAGAGTAATTATAATAGAGTAAAATGTCCTTTAACATTTTAATGCCAATCTCCACCTCCGTGTGCATATAATACAGTGGTAACATTTTAATTACAAACTCATCTAAAATAAGCAGGCTTCTTATCAACAACTTAATTTAAACTGCCTCGATGTGTATTTTCTGCTTCCAGCACTACCAGGGGCTGTACCAGGAGCTAGATTTGGTTAATTCCCATTGTCTAGCTTTTGATTGCTGGTAAGCAACAATCATTTTCCTCCCCTTTGGTTTCTTATAAAAGCTAGTATTACAATGAAATTAAATAAGTCATTCAGTTTCCAATAAATTATTCCCATTATTGCCCTTGATTAATAGCCTTCTACATTTCTTTGTACCTTAGAAATTAGGGAGAGTGTATTATCGGAATATCCAGAAATTTTTTCACTGTTAACTTTTAACGACATACTTGAGTTGTGGGAGTATTATGGGACAGGAGTAATTTGGGTAACTTATATGGAGATGATCATGATAGCTAGCATTTGCTGAGTGCTTACTATTTTCTAGGCCCTGTGCTGAGTACTTTACGTGCCTTCCTAATGACTCTGGGAGGTTGGTACTGTTATTACTCTCATTTAGATGATGAAACTGAAGTCACACAGCTGCCAAGTGGTGGAGCAGGATGTGACTCCAGGCAGCCTATCCTCAGAGTGGACATTTTCAACCCCTGAACAATACTGTCTCATGAAACTTTAGAGTAGAATTCTCATGGTATTGTTTAATCATCAAGTACTGTTTACGCATGTTATAAATGATAGTAAAAATTCAGTGTCTGTTAGTTTACTTCATTCATTCATTCAGATGTTTCTTATCGATTTACCAATATGCGGTAATGATAGTGAGCAAAAATAGACATGGTACGTGATCTCATGGAACTTATAGTCCAATGAGAGAGATACACATTAATCAAAGAATTAATGTGTGTTTTACCCAAAAAGGTAAAATTGAAACTAATAAGAATTTCAGAGAAGTATATAGTGCTATTCTGGAAGGAATTGACCTAGTCCTGGAAGTCAGGAAGCTTCTTGGAAGTCAAGGATGCTTCTTAGGCGTCATAATTTAGTTGAGCTATAAAGGAAGAGGAACAGTTACCCAGATAAGAAGAGTGGGGGAGGAGAAGCATAGCGCATGTCGAGATCGTGTGGAGAGAAAGAACGTAGAGTTTTAAGAAGCAGACTAGTATAATGTGTGGCAGGGAGCAGGTACAATATAAGGCCAGAAAAGATAGCAATATTGAGAATTTCTATCATTTCAAATAATAATGGCATTTCTATCATTATTCCCATTATTTCAATGGGAAGCTATTGAAATATTTTAAAGACCTCTTTGGCCGCCATGGAGGGTGAGAGTTGACTGGATACCAGTAAAAGGCCCTCGTGTAGTCTAGGAAGGAACTGTTTGTTGATGGCTTGGGCTTAGGAGGGTGAGCATAGATAGAAGTGGATGAAACTGAAGAATTGTGTAAGGGGAACAGTGTCAGGGCTTAGTGCTGGGTTGGATAATAGGGGATGAGAGACCATGAATGACTTCTAGGTTTCTGGCTTGCCCAAAAGGATTGAATGGGGGCTGCTATGCACCAAGTAAGAGAACTCTGGACAGGAACTATTTTTGAAGGGGAGTATTAGGCGTTTCATTTTCGTTCACTCAATTCAGTAATGTGCTCTTACTATGTTCCAGGCAGTGTCCTAGGATATGGAGGGTCGTTGGTAATCAAGACAAAATCCCTGCCCTCGTGGAGCTTATATTTTTATGGGGAGAAATAAGCAAACAATTTTTAAAAAAGACAATTTCAGACAGTAGTAAGTGCTGTGAATTAATAAAACCACAAATGGCTTCCAAGGGATGGGTGAGGCTGCTTTACTTTGGGCCATCAGATCAGGCATCTCTGAGGAGATGACATTTTGTCTAAGACCTGACTAATAAGGGAGGTGCCTGCAGAGATCTGGGGCACAGATTGTTTTCCAGGTAGAAAGAACAGCAAGTGCAAGTGTACAGCAATGAGCGTTTTTAGAGAGAGAGAAAAGGCCGGTTCGACTGGAGCCTGGAGAGGGAAGAAAAGAGGGTAGGGAATGAGGTTGGAAAAGGGAGGCCGGGTGAGGAGTGGGAATGCTGTCCTGATGGCACTGGGAAGCCCTCGTAAGATTTGAAGCAACTAAGCAAATGTACACCTCTGATTTATGTGGTAAAGAACATTACTCGCTACTCAGTGGAGAATGGACTGTACTGGGGGAGAGTGGAGGCAGTGAGGCCAATAAGGAGGCTTTAAGCTCAAAAACAGATGACAAAGTGAGTTAAGTTAAACCTGGGAACCCTCTGCGTTAAAAATATTCTACAGATTTCATCAGGTCTTTTTACCAATAGTAAAGGCAATTTGACAAAGCTCTCAAATTCTGTATATATATATATATATGTAGAAAAAGAAAAAAATCAAAGAACAATTTTCCTAAGTGATACGTATAGTTAAAAAGGGAACCAAGAGGCAGATTTGCGGTTTTTATCTTAGATCTTGATTTAAAAAATATGTTTGTTGGATAAGACCCTAGGCCATCTCTACTTTGAAGCAATAAGCTCTTTAATTGCAGAAAATGATGCCTAAGTGGGAGTTTTTATCTATTGTGTCCCATTATAAGAATTCATGAAATTACTTTACACATACTTTGATCCATTGCCCCATTTCCACTATACTATTCAATTTTAGTTAATTATACTTACGTTTTTAGAATGACTGGTGTTCACTATTGTAGATTTACATATATATATATATATATCATTCAGTTGCTCATCTTGATAAATTTCAGGGTATTTTTTGAACCATGACTAAAAAGAATTAGAAAATTAATTTACTTATACTACCTTTTAGATTTTCATCTCCTTTATTATTTGACTTGTTATTTATATTATTTCTATGTCATTATCATTAAAAACATTAACATTAAAAAAAGAAAAGAAAATGATGCCTAAGGTCAGAAAGCAATGTTTTGAATATTGCATTTGATAAACTCAAAGTTAATAACTAAAGGCAGCAGTTACAAGGAATAATCAGGAGAGTCTGGAACTGTATTTGATTTTACTGGTTTACATTCTCTTAAAAAGTAAAACTTTACAGGGACTTTTAGGAAAGTGATACATTGTCATTGTGGATAATAAAAAATACTTACCAAAATAAAGATAATAAATGCTGTCACACCTACTATTCAGAGACATCCACTGTTAAATTTTTGAGTTATTTAGGAATATAGTGTATTCATTTATTATACTGTAGATACGCCTTTATAATCCATTATTCTCACTTAGCAATGTATTGTGAAAATATTTCCATATCATTAAATATAATTTCTATCAAATTTTTAATAACAACATGATATGCACTATAGTTATATTATGGTTGTTTTAAGAGAGCATGAATGACTTCTAAGTTTCTGGCTAGAAGTAACCCAAAAGGATTGATGGGGGCCCAAAAGGATTGACCAGATGTTTATGGTTGAAATCTGTTTTTTAGAACTAGATGCCTATTTCTATTTCTTAATTTTCTTGTTTTGAAATCCATCCTTTAGCTACATTTAGCTATATTTTTGTTCATATTGCTATTATCTCCTTTTGTGTAACTACTCCCCAGGTATTATTGTGTGGTTGAAGAATACAAAATTTTATGGCCTTTGCTATGTTTTTCCAGCTTCCCCCAAAAATTGTGCTCCCAGCAATACTGTAGTGCCAATTTCTCTACATCCTTGACAGCTCTGGTAATATATATATATATATATATATAAATATATATATATATATATATATATATATATATATATATATGTGTGTGTGTGTGTGTGTGTGTGTGTGTGTGTGTGTGTGTGTGTGTGTGTGTGTATAATATGGTATTACTGGGAGTGCCAAAAAAATGTATACACATTTTAAGAAATGTTATCCATGTATTATTTTTGAAATTGAATTGAATTACTGTAGCAATGTGTAGTATGGAGTTCTCTCAAAAGATGGCATTAATCAAATGAATGCTAGCGTCACCATGTGACAGGCAGGACAGTCAAAGATAGTAGCGGAAGCACGGATGTCGTTGGAGGAGCGCAAGACCATTTTGAAGTGGTATTTGACATTCGAGAACATTGTGGAAGTACAATGACAATGGAGGCGTGAGTGTGTAATAGAACCTCCAACACGCCTAACAATTGCACGCATTCGTGATAAGTCTGAGATGCATGGTACTGTGTTATGATGTGCACAAGGGAAGATCCTGGAGGCCTCGCACAGCAACAAGCCCTGCTGCTTCTGCTATGGTGCTGGAACAGTTTACATGCTTGCCACAGAAGTCTCCCAAACAATGTTTGCCGTAATCAGAAGTGTCTGGACGCTGATGATAACCACTTTGAGCACCCCTTATAATTGCAGAAGTCAGATATGACTTGTATTCATTCATCTTTTGTTATCGGTATATATTGAGCATCACAATTTGAATACAGTTTTCCTTTCTTAAAAGGTGTAAACATTTTTTTTGCCACCCTCTGTATATATTTTTCGTAGCTAAATGTTTATGTATATTGGTTGTTAGGCTTATAAAATCTTACCCACATAGAAGTTACATAAAGTTACCCCATATTTTCTTCTGATTCTATGATAATATTTTTTTGTATTTGTATAAGTACAAATATGTATAAGACGCATATGTATCTTTATTTTTTTTTTCTTCATTTAGAAAGAAGGTCGTGCGATAGCCCTCCCAACTTCTCCAGCTGCTGGTATAAAAACACTTGATCCCCTGCCTTTGAGAGAAGATTCTGATATCAATATCCCCAGATTTGCTAAGGCAAATCCAGTTTCAAAAAATCCAGAACATCCAACAAACACTCCTGAAGAGTCGCCTTCTCCACCCTGTGCTCCAGCGTACTGGCATTCCTCTCGTCGAATTCAGGGCTCTCTGAGAGACCCAGAATTTCAGCATAATGGTAATTATTTTGGTTTTAAGTTTTTATCTTTTAAAATGAAAGTCTTAAACTGATACAAAGGCTGTAAGTACCATGTGTACTATATGTTAACAAATGATGTTATTTAGGTTTTTAGTTAATGTAATAAATTTCTTTAAATAGGAAAGAACTCATCTTTAGAACAGTTAATTTTGCTGTACCCAAGTTCACTTTTGTATAAGTGTAAGGTGTCTCTCAAGTTCTTTCCCATACACATTTAGGCAATGCACTACATGCCAGTAGCACCCCTTCCTCAGGTGTGACAACCAAAAGTGGCTTCAGACATTGCCAGATGTGGCCTGGATGTAGAATTCAAGATCATAAATTATTTTCCTTTTGTTTTATTAGGCACTGCTCTCCTCTTTTCTAGCTTCCACTATTACTGTTGAGAAGTCTGATGCTCTTCTTATTTTTGATCTTTTGTGTATGGCTTTTTTTCCTGGCAGCTTTTGGGATCTTTTCTTTATACCTAATGCTCTATAAAATTTTACAATGAGTCTCTTTTCATTTATTTTGCTAGTACTCAGTAGAGCTTTTCAGTCTAGAAACTCAGTTCCTCACTTCTAGGAAATTTTCTTATATTATTTAGCCAGTAATTTCTTCCTCTTCATTTTCTGTTTCCTTTTTTTCTGTCACTCCCATTATTCAGATGTTGGACGTGTTGACCATGATTTTATTTTCTTATCTTACCTTTCCTATTTGCCATCTCTTTTTATTTTAATTTGAAAGGATTACTAATTTTTATCTTCTCCCTCTTCCAGTTTTTAAAAATAATTATGCTATATTTTTAATTTCTAAGAATTTTTTTTAACACTGCATATTCGTTTTATACTGCATCATGTTCTTATTTCATGGATCACATGTTTTATCTCTTTCAGAAGATACATGATACATATATAATCTCCCTGTTTTGAATGTGGTACCATTGCCCTTAGTTGAACCTAGTATCCTTTAGTTAGAGCAGCTTTCATAAACCTTTAGAGTGAAACCTCCATTCCTCTTTTGGGAGAGGGGCAGTTACCTACCTGTGAAAATTTAAAGGACCTGGCAGTCTGCTGGTAAAAAGACTTTCACCAGTTTCCTGGTTCAGTCTTACGTTCACTCCAACTTTCAGTGCTACTCAGTACACACTGAGTACACTCAGCACAGAGACGTTAGGGGAACAAAATGGTTGCTTCTTGGTTTCCCTCCTTTGCTTGAGAAGGCCACTTTCTTGAGAATGATAACAACACACTCACTGCCCTTTCATTTACTTTCCACGTTCCAAAAATTTGTTGCTGTGTTTTTTTGTCTTCCATTTTCTTTCTTATGGGTTTATGTCATTTTTGTAAATGTGTGTATTCCATCTACCATCTTTAAACAGAAACCTACTACACTCTTTTAAAATTAGAATAGATCGACATTATCATTGAGAAGAATTCTAGGAGGTTACCCATTGTGTATTTACCTATTTGTTAATAATAAGCACATTATACATTAATGAACGGCCCTTTGATAGTAATTTCTATTAAAGAACTAAAATTAATAAAATTTTGACAGCCTTCTTTCACTAAGGGTTTACATAACTAGGATATACTGTTGGGTAGCTTTGAAAGATAATTTCTTCTGCCTTTTTGTTTTTTAAGTGGGAAAAGCAAGGAAGAACAATTTCCAGTCACCTCAACATGAAGCCTTTAATGATGAAGGTATTTCCATAGTCGACACAAGATGAAAGCATGAGGTTTTGTTACATGATAGTTTATAACAGTGTAATGGCCTTAAACTTGATTAGCATTATATACTGTACAAAGGACTTCCGCAGATATTATTTCATTGGATCCTTGAAATCTTGTGAAGGGGGTAAAATTATACCCATTTTACAAATGAGTCAACTGGGACCTAAAGCCTTGGAAAATCTTCTCTAGGGTGAACAAATGGTAAGAGATTGTGCCTCACATAACTCTGCGGTCAGAGCTCTTTTTGTCTTCCCGCCCTGTCTAGGTGGGGCGCAGGAATTTGGCCTAGCATTATATCCAGCATTTTCTCCAAATGCCTACACTTAGCAGTTTTCAATTCTCAAAAAAATACGATTACAGAAAATCAACTTTTTACTCCTATGTAGTTTTCATTCTGACAGATTCATTTGCTTCTAATAGTGGCAGGAGGAATTTTGAATTCTTGATGTGAACAACTGAAATTACAATTTTAATTCATCCTTATAAGTATGAAATTACTGAGTGTTACATTCTGGATTTGAAATTAAATGAAAGGTTTTCTCTCCTCTTAGCAAGTTTGGGACTTTTTTTTCAAAATTCAGTGAGCTAGAAATCAAGTTATTATGTTTTCAAATGGAACTATCTGGACACTTTAATGTATGTGTTCTTTTTTTTTTTTTTTTTTTGTTGTTGTTGGTTTTTTTTAGCTGAGCCATCCTGTCACCTGTTGGCAGCTCAGCGGCTGCTCAGCTCCGGTTGGGAATCGAACTGCTGTTGCTCAGAGCTCACACTCTTGAGCAAGCACTTAACCAACTGAGCCACTCGGCTGGCCCTTCTATCTGGACACTTTGAATCCAGTTCTGATTTCTTTTTAATGGAAGAACAATGTTTACAAATAGTCTTATAATAAATTTGCTTACTCAGAATGAGGAATTTCAGTAATAATGAAAGGGCAGCACATTAAAGTCAAATATTATTTCTACATTGAGATTATTTTAGAAATGTTATGTAAGTACTGTGTTAAGCCATGGCATTTTGTTTTACAAAGTTTTGAAAAGCTTTTCACTCAGACCAGCTGTACTGTTTAAAGTAGGACAAGACAGTATGATGTTGAATTGTTTCCAGGTAATACCGAAATCATAAGCCTTGTGTTGAGGTAATGACATTGTGGGATTTCAGCAAGGAAACAGAATGCTCATTTAACATTAAAATGCTTGATTTCTGAATTTGGTAAACTTGGAAAATTACTGTGAACTGAAAACATTACTATCTTGTATTTCAGTAGATTACTTTTTTTTTCTGTCAGAGTCAGTGTTGACATTACAAAGCTTGGTGCTTTTTACTTTTCTGTCAGTGTTATAACAATATTTTTGTAAGAGTTATATTTAGCACTGACTATAATTCTTTCATTGCAGATGAGGACAGATTATCTGAGATTTCAGCTCGTTCTGCAGCTTCAAGTCTCCAGGCTTTTCAAACTCTGGCACGAGCTCAGAAAAGGAAGGAGAATTTCTGGGGTAAAACATAATTAAATATGCACCTAGTTGAGTTGCTTTTTTTCTAGGGAACCATTGGCACAGTTTTTCTTTATTGCTTTACTATGTTAAGATTTTTCAAGCGTTTGGATTTTTTCTAACATTTCCTGCTTACGAAGAATTATTTGATTTTTCAATAGCCAATCAGTTTACCTGGAAAATTTTAGCACAAGTTCATACAAATTTAACTGTTAAAGAATTCTTTTTACATCAATCCCAAAGTAGAAAGACATAGATTATATAGTTCTTCACATGTTCTAACTTTTGTATTAGGTGTTAGGGATAGCTGGTAGAATTGTGAATTCTGTCTATCCAGAGAATATTGTAAAAAGTGAACAAAGTGAAGTAAAAATTAAGATTCAAGTATGTAGTATATATTTCCCTAAAATTGGTTCTATGTATCTTTATAATTGTGGATGTCAAAAAATGAATTTTTTGTTCCTTTAACTTTTTCTGTAGTGCTTTGTTTTAGTACCTTCTGTATGTGGTTACAATATTAAGATAATTTTATTTTAGATTGAAAATACCGGCTGTATATATTTTTCCTATTTATGTAACAAAGTTTGCTAAGAGAATATGTATATTTTTTATCTTTGTGTACATTCTATTTGTACAAGGACTGGCTTACATTTGAATAATGTCTGAACTTTGAAAAATTATTTGTATAATGGAGAACTAAAAATTTGTAGACATTGCAAAATAAAAATTGATCAAGTATTTCAGTTCTGTTTATTTCAAGCATTTGACTTCTCCAGAATGTTATTACAGGAACAAATAATTATCTTTTATATACATTCTACTCATAGCAGGTTAGACAACTGTTATACTTCTTTTGCAGCAATCCAAATGCAGTGAAACCAAGTCAACAATATTGTACACAAATGTAGGAAACAATTCCTAAGGCAGAATAATTAAAAAAAGTTTTTTTTAAATTAAAGTTTATTGATTTAGCAAACTTTTTTACTATACTCTTTCACTCATAGGACATGTTCTGTTGTCTTACTCTTTATCTTGCAAATCATGATTAATTTTTTTAAAATACGGAGTTCATAAAATTACATAAAATCTTTATAATAATACATAGAAGGCACTGAAGATAAACTATACAGAATATTCATGCTTATTGGTTAGAAAACAAATGAACAACCTCTTCTAAAGTGTTTAATTTGGTCAGAAGTGCTTATACAAATCATCAATTCACAATGTTAGTTTTTAAAAGATCTTTATATTATCATGAGGTTATAAAGAACTCTGGGCATACAAGTATTTGCTTACATTCCACTGACATTTTAAAACATTTTGTTGATAAAAAAACTTACCAAGTGATTCAAGATGGCAATAAAAGTTAGAAATAAGTGTATAATTGAATTTTAGAACACAAATTGTCTTGGGTTCTGTACAAATGTGTACTGAGGCATACTGTAAAATAAATTTGGAACTGAAAGTTGGCTTAGTTGGCTAGAGTTTTCAATGGCTGACCACTGATCTACAGTGAAGAAAGGAATTCTAGCTAGCTTGCAAGGAACTAAGCATAATGCACAGTCTATCTTACCTAAGCTATAGACTGTAAAGTGAGTTCATCCATTGGAGTAAGTTGCCTGCACATGAACTGATCTATCTATCAGGTGTTAGGTAGATTAGGGTGTGGTTCTTATGAGGTTGAGGCTATTACCTGAGTCTGTGTATGACAGTTTATCCTTGCAGTATACTACTGACTATCTTTTAAAAGCCCTACTCAGTGGCCCAGGGGAGAGAACAGTGTTGAGGGATTAGTACTATTCCATCACTCATACTAAAAGAGCAACTCGAAGGACATGTGCTTGAATTGGTGGGTAAGTAGTTTACATGAGAAATGTCCCATGAGATTTGTTGGCATATAGGAGCTGGGATTGTTAACTCAATGTTTTAATCAATTTTATTAAGGTACGCTTTCATGTACAAAAAACTGCAATAAAAAAAATTATAGCTCAATAAGTTTGGAAAGAATGTATGCATCTGTGAAACCAACACCACAACCAAGACCTATTACATTTCCATTATCCTAAAAGTTTCCTCATTTCCTTTTGCAGCTCATTCTATCCATACAGTGTACACCCAAATCAATATTTTAAACTGGTGGTTTGGTCTTTTGTTGAACTTAGTATCTCAAAAGCTGGACTGGGGAGAGAATATCAGAATCACAATGGAAGTTTCTTCCAAAATACACACCTACTGCCTCTGTTCTTCCCCCCATCTTCGCCCTAGATGCTGAGATACCCATATGTCCCTGGTTGAGAACCCGGATATAAGTGCACAAATACACATATGTGTATGGAGGCTTTGCACGTTCGTTTCTGCTCTCATCTGTGGATCACTGTGGGAATCTGAACTCTTAAGAACCCTTGAAGGATGATTTTGAGAATTAAGAATAAAGAACATGATAAATTGCTTAGTACATGGTAGGAAATGTTACTGTGAGATTTAAGTACAAATATCCTCATTTTACAGGTGGGCAAACACTTAGACTAAATTACTGGACCAAGATCTCATAGCTGGTAAATTAAATCTAGGTCTTCTTACTTGAAATCTACCCACGCCGCTAACTCTGAAGTGCTAAAATTGTGAATCTTAACTGTGATTCAGTGCTCTGGTTGATTCATTTAGAGTTACATTTTTAACTTTGCCTCCTTGAAGATAAATGAAACACCTACCTTCCTAGTCAGGAGGAAGAGTATGTGGGCACATGTATTGTACAAATGGATTCAACTAGAAGGAAAGAGAGTTAACATCGAAAGCAAGTTTGTCCTTATACAGAGCAGGGCTGTGGCTGGCTACCCAGAGTGCTCAAGGATGGATTTTACCTTTGTTGCGGTGGTAGATACCCAGAAAATATCCCAAAGCTTACTAAAGGAGCAAATAATCTAAAATGCATGTGATCCTAGAATCATTTACATTGGTTTTGGAATATGTTTTTGGTACTCTGACATGTGATGGCATCAGGCATGTCAGCACGCTCAGGGCCCAGGCTTTGTCACACTGCAGTCATCACTCAGTTTCCCTAGATGAGTCAGCTGCACAGGGAAGAGAACAGCCTCTGTCACTGGACTAGCCACGGTTGTGCCCCGCTGGGCCTGGTCATGGGGAGCTCTGAGAAGCCAGTCTGGCCCTCTAGCTTGACTCATGGATGAAAAGCAGGGCAGTGGTATATTCAGCCCTTTGAGGCTCAACTTCATGCTAATGTTGACCCTGCTTTGACCATGTGTCTTTCTCCTGTGGTGAGAGGAGACACAGAAAGATTCAGCCCTTTTTTTCCTTTCTTTTCCAAGCTTCTTAATCTGTAGTTCATGTTTCATTCCTACCCTGGTCCTCAAGGGTGCGTCAAGGATAGGAGCCTCTCTCAAGCAGAGGGCAGCTCTCCTGTAGCACTACCCCTGCTAGAAGGCAGGTAAGAGGGAAAGAGCAGTCATCCTAAAGATGACATCCGCTTCTCCTCCACTGAACGCTCCATCTAATGAAGGCATCCATTGCCTTCTTTATACCCCAGGCCTCTAGCAGAGCATGTCCTCGGAAACTGAGTGAGGGAATGGGACTAGGGGTCACTGAGGCAGCTTTGGAAGTCAGAGCATGAGGTCAACAGATAGAGTGATGTTCGGGGAGTTCACAACCAATTTGAACCACCTAATGGACAATTTAGGTAATGTTGGGAAATTTTCCAGTTTCTCTTCAACATAGTCGACACCCAGTAGTATGCTGGAGCTGGTTTTTGGGCCAATTGTGAAATATTCAGAAATTTGGTGAGCAGGTTATTAAACCATCAGTAGTTTGAAATTGGCCATGGTGGGAGTATTTATACCATGGACATCAGCAAATGCTGTAAATCAGTGCTTCCTCACCAATTACCTCCCTTCCCCCGGGTAGTTTACAAGCCCACTACTGTGCAGCCACTACACCAATTTTTGCTTATTTTTCATATCATTTGTGATAAAAATCCACTTCAGGAAAGAGAAAAGAAGCAACTCAAGATAAGCTACTATAAATTCATTATATCATTCACATCTTCCTTGGCTTATAAAAATAAAATACTTTGGTTTGGTTTCTTTTTTTTGGCTGGAGTCCACCAAGAAAATAAAAACAAGCCACAAATAGCAGATAATAGACTATGGAGGGAGCCTACCCATGATCCACCCACCCATGGAACTGGCCAGAGTAAAGGCCTGGGAACCTATGTGTAATTCCAGGTGACTCTGATATTCAGGTAGTTTGGAAACCACTGGCTTTGGGACTATAATAAGCTTGAGCAAACTGGTTAAACTTCTTTGAGCTTGTGTCTCTAATCTACAAAATTTAAGATTTAGTGGCAGAAGGTCTGTAAAGGTGTTTCATATATGCGGTCAGGCAATTAATTCAAAATGTTTGTTCTATTGTGCTGAAGGCAAATTTTCATTAAAGCAATGGGAGGAAAAGGCATGTTTTAGAGAGGGAAAGGTTAAATCTGGAAAGCAAAACGCTGTGTATCCTAAAATTGTGGCATCTTGTGTCATAGCCCTATCTGAGATGACCTACATTCATTCAGCTTACACTGAGGCAGTTTGGGGCAGCGTGCTGAAATGATTTGTCTGCTTCCGTTATGTGGTAAAGCAAAGAAGTCTGTGACTCCAGTGTTGTGACTCAGCGAGACTAGAAGGTGGAATCAATTACCTGATATATGCAAACTATATTAGTGTAACCATGAATTGGAGATGTTATCAGATATGAGTCAGGCAATGCAGAGACAAAGGACCCACGACAATTTCTGATGAAAGGAAAGATAGTAAGGTTGGTCCCTGAATGAATGTACAGCCAATATCAAAGATTTCCTATCTTGCTTCAAGTTATTTTTTTATAAATAAATTAAGTAAAACTCAGAGTTTTATAATTTTGAGAAGAAAATGTAAAATGCCACATATTATGGGAAAATATAGAATCTTTAAACTCATCAAATCAATTATACTTAGAGCTTGGGCATGTCAGTCAGGAAAATTTTGCCCACAATGAGTACCTTAGCATTTGCTGTTGCCATTAAAAATTATTCAGGTAAAACAGTTAGGTTCTAGAGAAACCAAAGAAAATTGAAAATAGGTTTATATGACAATACTGACACGTTCCTTTCATAAATGACCGATAACGCTATAAACTTTAATTTGTAATTTTGCAAAGATGAAACATCTGAAGTACTTTACGAATTAGAGCATAACTTGGCAATAAACAATCACCTTAGCCTGATCACTTAAATTAATTACTGTGAATCGTATCTGCCAAGACTTTAAAAACATCACAGATCCATGCTCTAAGGACATGTCAGTTTCTTTCATCATTCAGAATCAAAATGTGGAGACCAAGAAAAAAATTCTCAGATTTGTTTTTATAAATTTGAAGAATACAGAATAGTAGAGACTAACATATCAATATGTACAGTTCTTTAGTCACTACTTAAATAATATAACAAAAATAAAACTTAGAAGCTGGATACTTTTGATTAGAGAAGCTCCTAGAAAAACATCTAATAACCCTCAATTTAGTGAATATGTTCATTCATTCACTCATTCATTCATTCATTCACTCATTCATTCATTCATTCATGAAAACTGCATGCAAAGCTTGCACAGATATTTTCTGCTGTACAACACATCAATCTTAGTGTCTCTTCAGGTAATAGTCCACTTAATCTTAAATAAGTCAGTCACAAGTTAC